GAATTTGACTGGTGTCTACTGCCCACTCTTCATCAAGAATAAGAAGGAAGGAACTGAACTTGCTCAACCTTTCGCCAAGGAAGCTAAGCTTCACACTGAATATCGTTTGTTGAACAGAGATGTTACTGTTTTGTTTGAAGGTATTGACAATACTGGTAACTTGCATGGAAGTATCATTATTTCTGCTGATGAAACTAGCGACAAGCCAGTCACTTATCAAGAAGAATTATTGTTGACTGGTTATGCATCTGTTGATGAAAGAAGCGCTCCAAAGTCTAAATATGCACAAAGATTCAGAGCAGCAGAACAAAAAGCAAAAGATGAAAAAATGTTTGTGGGTTGACTATCAACCAAAGAAACAATCGTTGGAACAATCCGATACCGATTTCACAGCTAGAGTTTTGGAAGTTTTGTCAGGTGATACTTTGAAGATTATCAAGAATGATGGAACTGAAGAGAAAATCAGTCTCTCCAACATTAAGACACCAAAATATAATCCATACGCTAAGAAGCAAGAAAAGAAGGAAGATAAGGAAGGAGAATCAGAAAAGAAGGGTGAAACTCAACCTTGGGGCTATGAAGCTAAAGAATTGTTAAGAAGCAAAGTGGCTGGAAAAGAAATTCATGTTGAAGTTGACTACAAGAAGGAAATGCAATCAACAAAGGAAGTGAGAAGATACTGCACAGTTTTGGTGAATAAGAAATCAGTTGCAGTAGAGTTGGTTAGAGAAGGTTTTGCCTCTGTCATTAAACTCAGAGCTGACGAGGAGAGATCATCCGCTTTTGACCAACTTATTTTGGCTGAAAATGATGCTCAAAAGAGACAAAAGGGTATTCACGGAAAGAAGAGCACCAAACCAAGTCTTTACTAACGTTACAACATTTGATGCTGTCTCCAAATTGTACAAACTGTTGAGCGGAAAGTCAACTGCTACCAAGGGATACATTGAAAAGGTTCTCTCTACAAACAGATTTGTTATCAACCTTCCTGGTGATAGCTCCACAATCAAGTTCTCCATGTCTGGTATTGCTACTCCAACCACTGGAAATGATTTGGCAAAGGAGGCTTTCCAATATGCCTTGCTCAATACTTCATGCAGAGATGTTGAACTCGTTTTGGAAAGTGTTATTACAACTGGAGACAAGCAACAGCAAGGTGTTAAGCAAGGAGTTTTGTGTGGTCAATTATTGATTGGAGGAAAGAACTTTGCTTACAATTTACTCGAGAATGGTTTTGCTATTACTCAAGATTTTGCTAGAAAATTAAAGTATTATGATGAAATGAAGGAAGCTCAAGAAAAAGCTGAGAAGGCAAAGAAGGGTGCTTGGAAATCGTCTGACCCACTTTCTCTTTTCCCACAAAGAAAGAAGAAGGTCCGAGAAGAACAAGAAGAAGAGGTTGAAAGACCAATTTCTCAACGTTTCTCTGTTTCTTCCGCAAGAAATGCTCAAACTATCAGAGTTACTGATTTTGAAGATGTGACTACCTTCTATTACCATGGTGCTGATGTTGTGAACAGATTGAAAGAGATTGACCAATTAATTCAACAACTCAACCCTGAGACTCTTCCAACTCTCTCCTCTCCATCTGTTGGTTCTTTATGTCTTTCACAATTCACTGAAGATAACAATTGGTACAGAGCAAAGATTGTTTCTATCAACGATTCTAATTGTATTGTGTTGTATTCTGATTTTGGTAACAGTGAAGAGAAGCCGCTCTCCTCTCTCAAACAAGTTCCAGCTGAAAGTGAACTCTTAAAGATCAGGCCATGCGCTCAAAAGGCTCGTTTGGCTTTCGTTAAACCACACAGACAATTGTTCAGAGTTGATTTGGAAACCCTTTTAAGAGATACCCTGATGGAAGGTGAATGGTTATTAACTGTTGAATATGTCGATAACGG